CTTACATTTAGAACAATGCATAAAAATAATATCCTCAAATAATTCAAACTTATCTGTAATATCCTTCCTTTCACACAATCTCATTTCATTCCCACATGTTGGACATTCATACTTATCCGCATTAAGCAATTCTTTTCAATTACACTTAAACACAATAAAAATTTCGGATTTACTTTATATAGGGCCATGGGATCCCAATATTAAACAACACTGTTTCACAGAACATAGAATGAAACTGATACTATAAAGTACAGCAGATATTTTTACAAATTTACTCCCTTTTCCGATTAAAGAACAGTGATTCGTCCATTTATGTCACATGACATATCTCATGATCTCTCATTTCCCTCACACAAAATAATGCGTAATCGGAACTGAGTACTTCTCACATTATTCCCAAAGTCCTAGGTAGTAACCTTTATCGCCTCCAAAATGTCGCCAAACTACCTGTTACCATATTCCAAAGAGTAGCCCAAATTAATTTTTAGTAAATTTAGATAAATTATACTTGTAACTTTTATAATGAAATTGTCCAAAAATATGTTTGTATGCATATATCTGTATGTGTTTCACAAAAAATTCTGAATTTGACATTTTATCAGATTTTTCCTCCTTGCTTGTTTTTAGGATTTTTGAAATAGGATTGCAGTCACCCCTGTTAATAGTTCATGCTTTATTATTCAAATGCTGTGATTAATTTGAGTTATATTACTTTATGTGATTGATATACTGTAATTAAATATTTTATTATTTAAAAGATAAGGAATGAATAAATACTTTTCACTATTTTCAATAATTATGCAATTTATTAATGCTTATTATGCTGCTGTGAATTTGATTTTCTCTCAGAGCATCAGAAAAATTTTATGAGCTTCATCTGATGAAAAAACACATATTTAGATAATGTATTAGTGCAACTACCTAAATAGAAGTCACCAAATATTATCAGAATGTGGCATAAACCAACGTGTGTGTACAGTTCTGTTTTTTTTTTTTTTTTTTTTTTTTTTTTATAAGCAATGCTGCCGTTTTCATATACCTTCTTTTTGTTATATACCAAGTTCCAACATTTTTTATTCACAAATTGTGACAGCTTTTGTCTTAAACTTCATTTGTCTCAAATGGAAGAAACTGTCGTATAATTTCTGCAAGAATACAATATTTTGCTGGAAAATCACTAAAGGGAACAATTGATTTAAATCTCTTCTGATCGATATCACTGGGAAACAGCAATTTTTTTTTGGGTCTGTCACTCGTTTTTGACTAACTTTTGGCCTCTGAATCCAAGAATAACCTTAGTCTTTGATAAAGTTTTTGTTTTTGAATGCCAACCGAGCATTCTTTAGAAGTTCTGTCATTGTTCCAATGAAATGCTCCTCTTTAAGGAGCTGCCGAATCTGTGGACCATCAAGCACAGCGGCCTTTATCTTTTCAAATAACAGGAAATGCTGAAATAAGATACTTGAAACAGTTTCCTTCAATTGGCAAAGCTTTAACAAATTGCTTGACGAGACTCAGTTTTATATGCAGAGAAGGAAATATAATATTTCTGTTGACAAGGGGTTGATATAGAATGTTTGAATCCCCAGGTTTCAGATCTTTTTGGTGGCCAATTCAACTGCACCCAGTGCTTTTCAGAGGTCTGCTGTCCCACATACACAAAAAAACAGGGATACTTGATATATCCACAAACAGGGATCCATGGAGAAATCAGATCACTTTAAGGTCAACACAGATAATCCATTGGTGCATGTGATATTGCAACAAATCAATGACTCTCTTTATGTCTTCATATTCTTCACACAAACTGACTGAATGGCCTATTGGGACTGTACCAAATAAATTTCCATTTTGGAGGGGGACACACTTCAAGCTCCACTTTGAGCTATCAACGAAGATTTGTTATTGAGTTGCATTATAGGTTGACATTTCTTTTAGACCATGGGATATCTTAGCTCCTTTTTCAGTTTATTCTTTAAACAAGTTTTTCTCGTGCAGTCCTGATGCTAATAACTCTGAAGCTTTTTTGAATAGTCTCAAATTTCATGCCAAGCATTCAACTCATGCTGGTCAAATTTCTTACAAATGGAATCATCTTCAGTTTTGAAACCTTCATCATTGGGGTCAATTCGATATTCACCAGAATTGTAGTCCTGTATTTCCAAATGGTAATTCTTTGGGAAGTTCAGCTGAGTGGGGCACTGGGTGTATAAATCTGATGGTAAACTAGGATACTCTATTTTTCATTTTTTTTCTTGTTACATTCTGATGTTTTCTCTATACAAAAGTAACAATCAGTCGAGTGATCTTTAGGCTCTCACCAAATCATAGTTATACAAAATGGAAATATAGAACGTATTCCCTTCACCGCATCCATAAACTTTTGACACCATGCTTGCAGACTTTCTGAAGGGCTCATGATTTATCTTGATCACCAATTTCCATTTTAAAATAGGCTTGCCTGATAAATGTATTTTGATGTCCTTTGACTGGGAATGGTAGAACTGCCACATATATATCACAAAATGAATCAGGCCTGTTTAAAAACTTATGAACTAACAGAGGCAGAGATAATGAAAGGTTTCATTTCATATGCAATGGGCGTTTTCGTGATTTCCCCCATGAGTAACTTGTATACGAGCCAGTTTCCCTCAGAAAGTCCTCCATGAAGGCATCCCTCCCTATAGGCAGATAGCCCTCGAGGCTTTGCCGTAATCACATGCACACATACACACACACATTTCATATCCAATATCCGGAATGCTCTAAAATCTGGACCTCAAAGCCACCAACATTTTTACTTCCTTGTATGAAGTAAAAAGGAAGTATTGTAATCGCGAAAAGTTTCAGGCAGGATATTTCAACGAAAATATCCATTTTGACCGCTTTCGAATGAAATTTAACGATGTATTTGCATGAAATCTGTACGTAAGGACAGAATAAAAGACACTTTTCCTCCAAAAAAAAATTATAAAACTGCTTTAAAATTAATTCTAAAGAGAATTTTTCATGGCTTCTGTACGAACGTACGTATCTCGCATAACTCAAAAACAAGTAGCCTCAGAGCATTGGAATTTTGTATGTAGGACTACTATAACATGTAGATGTGCTGCTCGTATTTTGGTTGCAATCGGCCGTGCCAAACGTATATAAGAATAACTCAATTTCGTACTAAGGGAATTTAAAATTATACAATATATTTATATATATATCCACACTGTTACCTGGCTCAGTGATCTTCTTTACCCTTATATGTTTGTAAATTGTACATTTTTTGCTTTAAAAATGATTGAATTATGTTTTTCTTATCTTCCGGTTGAGGTTTTTATGCTTTTAGTAAATCTGTAGAATTATCAACAATTTTAAAGTTGTTTAAGTGCCACTAAGCCTAATAATTTTTCTGATGGTGGCCATTGCTTGTTTACATTTGAAACGGCAGAGTAGTGGATTTGTTGCCAATCTAGAGAAGCGTAGCTTCGCAACAACAAAGCTAACGCCTTAATTTATTATTGTGAATTAAACCATGCTTATTCCTTTCTAGAATTTTTTCGAGGAAATAAGTGTTTAAGATTTACTTCGTAATTTTTAATACAGATATTTTGAGTTTTTATGTATTTTTGTCTTGTCGGGAAGTGAGAACTGAATTAATTGAATGAGAAATACTAAATCGTCTGTGAAAAACTTTTTCTTTTTTTTTTTTTTTTTTTTTTTTGTTTGCTTAATTTCTTTTATACGTCGTTCTAGCTTTATTATAGTATTTGAATAGAACATGTGGCAACGATTAGATAATTCTTTAAATGATATAAATTTTGTGCATTCTGAGTTATAATATGAACGAAATATAATACTGTTAAGAGAACCTAGTGCCAAAGTGTTGCTATGGTAAACAAATACAGTGAATTTTAAAGAATGCATTTATTTTATTGTGGTTTATGCGCTGTCGGTGAAGTAGATTTAATTCAATCCAATAAGCTTAAACGAAATGCAATAAAAAATGCATATAATTCCGTACAAGGAAGTCGTGGTGTACACATCAGATTTTTTTGGGGGGGGTATCCCTTATGTGCACGCATTTGATTTTTTTTAATCCATAATAAAACGTGTTGGGAGTACTGATTCTTAGTTTTACTCCATCACTAAATAAAATAACTCATTATTGAAGAAACCATCATTTTAGGATAAATTTGTGTGATAAATAATTTGGCTCCGAAGCTGCACATCTGCTTTGCATACATCTCCAACCAAAACATTCCACATAGAAACATGACTGATTTTACATCTACTAATATTTTATATCGCTGACACCCACGAATGTTGTGAATCATTATTTATTATATTTTGCTTTTATCATGCCATGTTTATCAACACGACAGCTTGAGTAATGTTTCATGCAGCAATACATAAGCAATTTTTTTATATTAGTAATGGAATCCCAAAGAGTAACTTTAAAGTGAGGATCTAATATCCAGGCAAATCCCAAATATGGAATCGCCAAAGTTCCCGATGGGTCCGGATATCGGACTTTGTACTATAATAAGTTTTCAGGCTCAGGTTTTAATGCCTGGGCTTCAGGTTTAAGAGGCCTTGAAATTATTTATAACTCTTTATAATTTGGTCAAACTAGAGATAAAGCTGAAGTAGATAATCATGTATTTTTACATAATTAAATAATCCAATTCAATCCATCCTCTTATACTTTGCCTTGGCTTTCTTTACAATGCTTTGCCATTGTAAAGAAAGCCAAGGCAAAGGCTTTCTTTACAATGATAACAGATTATAGCAAAACACATTAGTTTTGCTATAATCTGTTATCAATCACGTACATCAAAATTTATGTATGTTTTTTATTATAAAGCTTTTTTCATTATCTTATTAATATTTATATATTGTAAATTCTTAGAATGCTGTGTGGAATTGCGAGTAATTTTATGCCATCTGTTTCACAGTATGGTTATAGAGCATTTGATATTTTATAAAAGTTACTCTTTTTTCTCCTTTAGATCACAGATGATATGGCTAGTGTGGTTGTAGCGCAACTTTTTTATCTTCAATCTAAAAGTAGTACAGAACCTATACATATGTACATAAACAGTTCTGGTAAATGTTTTCATTTCTCTTAATTCATGTAAGCATTTCTGCATGTTTTATTATGCTACTTATTTTTTGTTATAAATATGTAAATTCTCAGTATTATTTCTCTGTTATTTGATCTTGCTAATTAATTTTTAATTATACTGTTGCTTAATAGGTTACTATCCAACTTCGAGTAGTTGTTTTGTTTTAATATGTTTTATGACTACCTTGCTATGATCCAGCTGTTTAAATTATATTTTTAATTTGTTACAAGTAAACTAAAAAAGGGCTTTTCTTTTGAAAATGTACGTATTTTTAAAAATGCATAAAGACTAAAATCATTGAAAGCAGTAGCTCTTAATAGATTTGCAGTTACTCATTAGAATTAATTAAGATACAAGCACTAGTATACTACCTTATAAAAAGCATTAAATGTAATTAAAATTTTGTTCAGATTTCTAATGGCAAATATTTGCTTTTCTCAGATTAGCTGTTAATGTTTAACTCATATAGTCTACAGAGAGGGAGAGTTTTTGGGGGAAAGAAAACTTAAGCCCAAATGAATTCTTTTTGTGGTAAGAATAAATTCTATGCCTCGTTAATTGGCCCTCTTTATTTAGAAGATATTTTTCTTTCTAAGTGATTAACAATGATTAAATTCTTATTATTATCTCATGTATGATTAAATTATCTCATGTATGATGTTGTTCCATTAAATTTGAAAAAGAAAGCTATTTAGGGGAAGGCTATGAAATGCACAAAGCAGAACATGTACGATCAGTAGGCTGTAAGCCTAACACATGTAAGCAAAATGAATGTCTAATATTAACATTCCCTAATTAATGATTTCAACATATTTAACACTTTCTTAAGCATCAGATTCCAACAATAAAAACTTATTTTTGTTACAGCTTTCAAATTTTCAATTTTTCTATCTTGAACCATGCAAATCATACTTCAGCTCTTGAAACAAAAAATATATTTGGGCCATATCTAGTCAATAAAGTAAGAACATTTTTAACAATAGAAATTTGTACTTCACTTTTCTATTAATGGATTGCAAGCAGGGCTGTGGAGTTGGAGTCAGGCAGATTTTGGGGTAAAAGCAGTCGGAGTCGGAGTCACAAAAACAGGTCGACTCCGGCTCCAATTTTTGTTGGACAGTTTGAATTTAAATGATATTAAAATGAATTGAAAAAAATTAATGACAGGCTGAGTTATTACTTTTATTTATGAACTATATACATTAATAAATAGTTATTTTCTATTTTATTGATGTATTAATAAATAAATATAAGGGAGGAGGATGGATGTGATATTTGCCATTAGTGATTAAACTGATTCATTTAGTTACAGATCTCACTGGTAAATTTAGATAAGCAGCAATAGCAGCAAGAACTCCCAAAATTGATGCCATTCTTAGGAAGCGAGCAGAAAAAGGAGCAATTATTGATCAAGCAACTCGATAAGGAAGTCCAGATTTGATGATAAAGAGGTTGTTAGAATTAAGAACTTTTTTAGAAGGTGTAGATAACCCTAATGTTTCACTAGGAGAAAGACTGTGGAATGATCTTGTGGAATTGGAAACTCTTCTTTCTACACCGTATATAGCCACAAAAAAGCTGCAATCTGAAGAATTGACAGGAGGTGAGAATGTAAGAATCTGATGTTTGTTCTTTCAGAAATGGGGGTTTATTGCAAAAGGAATCATTTATTCAATGAAGAAAAGAGAAACTAGTTTGCTAGACAATGAGATCTTGCTGAGTTCAATATATGTTGATCCAAAACACCGAATTTTCTTGGATGAGGAACAAATTAAAATGGCAAAGAAAGCCATCTATAAACTTTCATTAAGAATGAAATTCTTCTGAGAACAATTGGAGAATTCGAATCAGGACAGTCAAACTGCAGACATTGCATTCTCTATCATCCTTTTCCAAAGATGAATTGGATTTTGAGAAATATTTTTGGATAATATTGAAAAGGCTAAGGCAAAGCGAATGAAAATAAAGAACGAGGAGCCTTTAGATATAAAAATGAAAAAATATAAACAAGATATCTACATGGCCTTTGAAGAAATAGAGAAATATGATTGCACTTGCAAGACACCTCTTTTAGAGCTTATAAAAAGCTAGCCTGAAAAGTTAAAAGAAGTAGCCCTAACAGTAACAGCTCTTCCTCCTACTCAAGTCAGTGTGGAAAGACTCTTCTCAGCTCTGAAGTTTATCAGATTGGATCTATTATGGCCCTCCAACAAAGAAGGTCTTGCCGAAGCTATACTTTTTCTTAGAAATAACTAATGCCAGTTTTTCCATTTCATAATAAATGCTAATTAATATAAATAAATTGCTATGCCATCAGTTTTTTTTTTCCTGTAGCATCTATTACTTTTATATTAAAAAAATAAGCTGTAACCCATGTGTATATGTTTACATATGTATATAATTTTAAATCCACTTAGTTCGAAATCAAATTTTTCTAATACTTGCGCAATAGCTGCAAAGTAAGTTAATAATAATTTATTTACTAAAGAAATATTGATTATATTATCTCCTAATATTAATTTTAGTAGAAGTATCTAAAAAGAGTGAACCCATAGGTAGTAAGTTTAATTTCGAAAATTGTTTTAAAGTAACTTGAACATAAATTGTTTAAAATGTTTTACGGGGATTTGAATCATGAATAACAAAATTTCAATTGAAAAAGAAATTACCGTATATACTCGCGTATAAGTCACCCCCCCCCCTTCGACATAAAAAATTCGTAGAAAATAAGAAACCCGCGTATAAGTCGACCCCCCCCCCATTTCTGAAATTGATCGAGAAACTTCGAAAAAATTTTTTAAGTACTACATTTATTCAAAATCATCTGAGAAAAAAAGTAAATATACGATAAAAAATACCTTGGTAAATAAACAAAATCAAAATCCTTCAACGTCTGATTCATGGTCAGATTCGCCAAACATTTCATAGAACTCTTCTGTCGTCATTGGCTTGTCATCATACATATTTTCAGTTTCGAACTCTGTATTGTTACAATCACTACTACAGTCTTCGTCGTCATTTTCACTTTCAAAAACAGCATCATCATCCGTGCCGTCTAGTTCGTTGCTAATACAACATTTTTTTAATGATTTTATAATCATTCAGAGGGTATTTCTCAGGCATTCGCATTTTTCAGGGGCAAAAACATAAAAATTTCCAAAAGTGTCCACAATTTTGGCCACCACTGTAGTTCGTAACATAATTTAACCCTTTGCGACACGCATATTTAAAATATATTTTAATCTTTAAAAAAATGCCTTAGAATAAGTCAGATGGACTTACTTAAGTGCCTTTAAGGCTTGAAAAAAATTCTGCGCTTTTAGTTTTTACGGGAGAAGGTGGAATACCGTTTGTCCCACCATGCAACTAGCACATGTCTTATGGCATATTGGTGTATAGCAGGAAAAAAAAAACATATGTGGAATGAATAAACAAAAATAAAGCGTGCATTCTAAAATATTCATAATAAACACACTAAAATGCATTTTGTACTTATTGCATATATGCATGACTTGTAAAATTTTGCATATGCACATTTTGCATATATATATTTAATATTTTTAAATTTTAGGAACAAAAGAAAATATTTTCTTGAATATTATTTTAAGATTAAAATTTGATACACGTACATATGATACTAAATAAAATATTAAAATTGGTACTTGATTCAAAAACATTATAGATTCATATATAGATTAAAATTATAATTATAATCATATCTAGATTAAAATTGAAAAAAAAGTCATTTTTCATGAAACTTTGAAAAACATGTTGTTTCATTCTTTTGTAAGCATAGAGACACTTCACATGTTTCACACATCCAAAATGTTCGTCGTTCTTCTTTCGATGTGCTGCAATATGCACATCTTCTCCTGCTCGTTCTGTTTGGCGTGTGACTTACATTTTTTAGTCTCTTTTCTGGTTGTACGAACGGGTTTTTAGTTTTTATTTGAACTGGGAATTTCAGTTTTCTCTTCAGCTCTTTCTTGCCTGCAAGTGCCATTAGACCTTCTGTAACTGAGAGAAGAAAATCTTTCATTGTGTTTTACATCATGATCGGGTTCGCGAACAAACTTAAATAGAATAAATGTGTTTACTATACTCGCATCTAAAAAGTAAAAAAAAAAAAAATGTGCCACCATTGCTTTTGCGGCCTATTTCTTTCAGTATAGTCCTTTCAGTTTGATCAAATCAAGTCGACATATCCCATGTTTCTTATTGTATGAAATAATGCTGTTTGGGCACAGTACTTTTTTTTTTGTCTTTTTCCATCTCGTTCTTTTCTATTAATTTCTTTCATTTCAGTTGCCTTTTCCAAGCAAGACAGGATAGAAACGGATCTTTTATCCTTCCATTTTATGCAATAAATTGAATCATCGCTAACTGAAAAGTCTATATATTCTCTTGACATAAATTTGTCTTCTTTTAAATTTTTGGGTAGATACTTCCGATTCATATTTACAGTGCCACATGCATAGATGGCAGCCACATGCATAGATGGTTCTGTGTCTTTAAAAAGCGAAACAAATTATAACTACTTGCCTTTCTTCTTCAGCAATAACTTCAACCTCAGTTATTCTCTCCTGGATTTCAATTTCATCTGAATCAGAACAGACACCTGAAGCATTTGAGTTGCAATCGGATGGCAATTCAGCAAAAAGATCCAAAGCTTCCTGAGTTGTTAATTTTTTTCTAGACATTTTTGCACATCAGAGCATACAACGGATGTAAAAGCGCGCGCAATCACGAAAAAAATTGATGCAAAAAAGAAAAGAAAAATAATTGTGAGTGCTGCCATCTATTGAGAGGAAATTCAAGTGTGTGGTGGGACAAATTTTAACCCACTTATTTCAACTGCAAAATTAATGTTATAAAATATTGAATCCAATTAAGATTTTTGAAAATAAAATACCTTTGAATATTAAAAAGAATCATACATATCATAAATTGTATACCAAAATTTTTAAAATATTGAAAAAT